ATAAATGCTCATTTTTATTAAAAGAAAAAAAAAGGAAAAGAAAGAATCTAGAAAATTAATCTAAGGGAAAAGAAAAGGTGTCTATGCTAGACTTATTGGGAAAAGAGTAAAAAAAAGAAATAGAAAAAAGAGGTCACGAAATCTTGTCGTTGAAGCTCGCCTCTTGTCTTGTGTTGTTTCCTTTATCATCACTCGCTCTTCTTGTTAACCGGAGGCATGGGAATCTTGTTATTATCAATCAAATGTTGGATAGCCTCCTTTAGCTTCCAACAACTCTCACTAGTATGACCCCTACCTTGATGGTACTTGCAGTGTTCGTCTAGATTCCAACTAGGCTATCTCTTTTCAGGTGCGGGATCTTGAATAGGTCCAATGGGAGTAATGAGTCCTTTGGCATGGAGTCGATCGAAGGCAGTATTGTAGGTCATTCCAATGGGTGTGAACTCTCGCCTGGGTTTCCTTTTAGATCCTTGATTGTCCATGGCTTAGACACCATTATGTTCAAAGGTACTAACATTATTACTAGAGTGGGCGTTTTCAGAAGAAGAAAGATTGTCGTTCTTCTTTCCTTTCCAGCCACCGTGGTTACTATTGTTAGTAGCTTTTTGCTTTGCGAGGTCGTCTTCGATTTCAATTCCGATGTCATAAACGGCCTTGAAAGTATTCAAGTTGTGTTGATATTTTAAGTGCTTTGAATACTTTTCTTGGAGATTCTTGACAAACATCCTCACAGACTCCTTTTCGATGGAGACCTCAATCATCTTGGCGGAAGTTTCCCTCCATTTATTAAAGAACAAAGTAAAACCTTCATTCTCTTTTTGTCTTAGCATCTCAAGTTGTCTATGATCAGTTTCAACTTGAATATTGCACTTGTACATATCAACGAAAGCGTTTACTATCGATTCCCAGGTAGAGGTTTTCTCCTTGTCAAGGGACAAGAACCATTGTTGGCAAACGGTTTCAAGAGATAGTGGGAACAGAGAGGGGAAAACCTTCTTATCGATACCCTTAATGCTCATTATAGTTTCAAAAGCTCTTAGATGGAAGTAAGGGTTATCTATTGCCTTGAATTTAGGGATGTCAGTGGCGTTGAACTTATGCGGAAGAAGGTCCTTGTCCAGCGAGACCCCTTGTGAACTCATGCCCTGAAATTTATAGTCGCTAGATAGCTTTCTCAAGCTTTCTTGCATGAGGTTCATTTGTTGTTGTTTTACGGGATCATCGACCTTGAGGGTGAGGAGCTTCAGTGTTTCAGTCATGGTAACTAGTTGGTTCCTAAGCTCATTGACTTCTTCTTGAGTTTCCATTATCTTTTTAGCCATCCTCTTTTGACGAATTGGTTTATCAAAAAGTGAGACTTGAATAAAGAGGTTGTCCTTGATTAATCGCCCTTCTCTCCTCGACCAAGTACTGTGGAAAAAGAAATTGGGGATATTTATTGTTAATTATTTGACTCAAACTTTATTCAACATGCTATGGATGGAGGAAGTGAAGAAAGATTGGAATAGAATGTGAAAGAAAATTTAGATGGAGGGATATGAAGAATTAGGATTAGAATGTACCCCCCAACTCAAATGACGGAAAAGACCGACTGATGCATGAACCTAGGACATGGTCATGGTGACATATAAAAAGTGTGTGCTATGACTAGTGAGTGTTTGTGACATGTTAAGACTTGTGTCATGACCATGTCGCTAGACTACGTGACTAGACTCAAGCAAAGACTAAATTAAGACCTCGCGTATATGGATTAAACTGGATAGGCTGTGGTATTTTAGTCATAACTTTTTATCTGTGACTCTGATTTTGATGAAAACAACTCCAAATTAAAGATAAAACTCGGGGCTAGTGATCCATAGGCTGTACGACTCGTATTTCTTCCTATAACTCCGGCTTTGACCAAAACAAGTTGACGTTTGTGCAGTATACGGGAATAAAAATGCGGGTTGACTTAAAGAACTATGACTCGATTTTATGTTTATTTATTAGCTCAAATTAATTAATTAATTAATTAAAAAAATTCTTTTAGTCATTAATCAGTTTATTTAGTCTTAACACAAGTCAAAAAAACGGTTAGGAAAAATCACATAGAGTATGCACAACAAATAATGCACAATTAGTCAAGTAGGCACAATATGATGCAATGAGTTTGCAACCTAACCATGACTCTAGTTCTCTAAAGTTCGGGATATGGTTTAGTCAAATAGGGTCCATGGTTAATTGTATTGATGCACCGCGTGGAAGCCTAACCGTGAAGGGTTGGCGCGAGTGGATGGGACACCGCGAGCTTTAGAAAAAAAAACTCGCTTCCATGGTTTGGTGAATTCAACATTCTCGGATGTACCCTTTGTTGCACACACCGTTCAATCGGGTAGATGGAGCATGAATTCCCAGAGGGTTATGTCCATATGTAGAACACATATGGGTTTCAGAAAAGTGAGAAAAAATTCAATCAGGAAGTAGGATCGAGCAAACAATACGAAAAACCGGTCGAAATTAGAACGCATATTTCTGGCTCGGTATTGGGGGAAATCGACGTCAGCAAACAGAGACTGGCGCCAGCTTTTAACTGTAGCGCCTGGCGCCAAGGTTGGCGTCTGGCGCTACGGTTAAAATACTGGCGCCAATGCTCTGGCCCCTGACGCTACTTCCCACATGCCTCAGCAGCTTTTTGTGCTCGATAAAATTTTCCAGTTTCGCACGGTGTTATTTCACTCTTAGTTGTGAAAGATATTTCTCAAATTTCCTACGTGTAAAATACTATGTTTTTAACTCATTACGGATGGTCTTTCCAATGAGATCTTTTTTATGCATATAACAATAATATTAATCAAAATTACGCACATAAAATACTTAGAACATTTCGAGTCTCATCCACACATTCTAAATCATTGCCGAAACAAATTCAGGAATTAAAATAGAAATCCTCCCCAGTGGAGTCGCCAAAAACTGTAGGGAATAATTTTCAAGCCTTAATCCCACTAGCTTGAACCCCACTGTGATCATACACTAAAGTACGGTGGCGTCCAAAAGGGAAGAAGATAGAGCAAAAGAGTCGCCAACAAGTTTTAGGAACTTGTAAAACGTTCACAGGGGGAAGGTTACACCCCTTAACGATCAAGGAAATCGTCAACTCCATAAGGTCTAGAACCAAATAAGGGTTCGGGGATGAAGGTACAAGTCCAACCTAAAAGAGATTGAACCTGCCCTAATAATAGGCCTCTACTTTATTCTGATCGTAGTCATGTCCCGCTTTTTTATTAACATGCAACCAATAGGATTAACCCTAAACCTGTTTATCTATGTTGGTTGAATATTAATGCACAAATAAATCTATTATTAGCGATCACTTGAAATATAATCACATTAACCCTAAACAAGATTATTAATTATCTTATTAAGCGTGATTACAAGTACAAATTCCCTTTAAACATGCGTAAAAGTGTGATCAAGCAATAACAATAAAAATCAAGCAACATAATAAATTAATTATGATCATGAATAATAATTATAAATAAAATAATCATCATCATCATAATAATAATAATAATAATAATATTCATAACCATCATAAATTATAACGATTATAATCATAAACATAATCATGTTAATATTAAAGCATAATAATAGCAAGATCCTAGGCATGATACTAACAAGATTAATAACAAACCCTAGTATGTCACTAAGCAATAAAAATGAAATCTTTAACCCTAACATGATACTAACAAATACATAAATATTAGGAAGAACATAGGAAGCATCGCAACAATCATATTTAATATTAATATTACCCTAGACATGATACTAGGAATTTATTGTTGTCACCCTAAACATGAAATTAAGGAAAACATCCTAACATGATACTAGGAATAATAATAACAATCTAAGCATGATTTCTATATAATAACATCAATAAAAACCATTAAAGTACTTACTTGGATGCCTCGTACCTCTTTCTAATTACAAAATACACACGTTAGCAACTTCAAGGAAAATAATAAATCAAACAATTAAATTAAATAATTGAAATAGAGATTTGGGACCAAACCCTCAGAAATTAAACCTTTCACGTTTAGGACAAAGGCAACTTCGAATATGGCTAGGTGTTTCTAGATCTTACGAATGCGGAATTTTGTATTTGAGAAAAGGCTAGTTTAGAAAGAGAAAGATGAAGAGATGAATGAATTAAGAGAGAATTGAAAACTATTTTTAAAAATAAGAAACGATGAAATCTGGTTTATCGAAAACGGAGTTTTTAATACGTTATTTATAAAGAAAATCAGCCAAAAAGATAATATTAACAAAACAGAGTCTGGCGCACGCAAAACGAGGTTGGCGCCAGGCATTGGCCATTGGCGCCAGGCGCCAGGCCTGGTTCCAGCTTTAGGAATGATAATTAATAATAGGCCCTCCTCTAGATCATTGGGCCACATATAAGGCTCAAACCGGGCCCAGATTAGTATTTTGGCCATAACTTCCTCGATATTCATCGGAATTGGGCTTATAATATATCGTTGGAAAGGTGTTTGGAAGCCCTATCCAACTACACTACTATTGGACCCATATCATGGACCAACGAAAATAGATTGGCTGTTTTCTTAAAATAAGTTTTCAAAAACAGAGAGAAAAGTAAAGAAATTAAAACTATCCGCAACGCTAGAGTTTCCACACTTTCGCTTCATTCGATTATGATTCGACGCAAAAGGTACTCATCATTGGGTTTGTTTTTGGGGAGACACAAATGGGTGTCTACAGAAGCCCCCACTTTGAATGAGTTTGGAGAAAAGCAAGTTTCGAAAACAAATGTCAAAGTAGCGATAGGGACGGAGAATGATTCAGAACGTTCTGCGATCCTAAATCAATCTTATAATGCCGATACCTGCAAACTAACGTTAGTTAAACAGATAAAAGAGTTAAGAAATGCGTATCTTGCACCGTCGAGCACACATCTTTGAAAGTAACCGATTGTTGCCGCTTAACTGTATCCTTGCTTTGAGTATTTAATCAACATTCCTCCCCACCATTGGTCTAGACATGCATTCACACCAAACTGCAAGTCCAACATGTTGTTGAACAACATGTGTGAGACTTTCAATGCAGTCATTAGGCCTGCCAGAGATAAACCTATCCTCACCCAAATGGAATGGATGAGGAGGTATATTATGAACAGGAATAATGAAAAGTGGGAGGATTCAAAAACAATTACACACAACTTAGTGCCATATGTGAGGCATGTTCTGGGGAGGATAGACTTTGTGGCTAGGTCCTGTGTGGTGCAGCCATCCAGAGGGAATACATTTGAGGTGCAGCTGAAGGATGACCAGGTGTTGGTTGATTTGGACAAGGAGACCTGCACATGTTACCATTGGGAACTCACTGGCATTCCATGTGTTCATGCTTATGCCTGCATATTGGATATGAGGGGTGACATAGAGGCTGTTGTTGACCCATACTATACCATGGACACATACAGGTCTGCTTATGAACCAGCTGTCCAACCAATGCCTGGCCCAAAGCACTGGGAGAGAGTCAGAATGAGGGAACCACTACCCCCTTCTGTTAAGGTGCAACCTGGGAGACCAAAGAGCAAAAAAAGGAAGCTTGAGCCAGGAGAATGTTCTTCTTCAGGTGGTCAGGCAAGTACCAAGAGGAAGAAGCAATGCAGCAACTGTGGGGGATATAGGCATTATGCCAAGACTTGCAAAGTACCTGCTGCACCAGCTACAGAGCTGATAAAGTCAGCAGGCAGACCCCCACTGAACACTCCTTGGATGGTGGAGGAGAGGAAGAAGAAAGAGATTAGGGCTGCTAAAAAGGTAACACAAGCATTACACCAACTCCCCCTTTGTTTTATATATGTATGTGTCTTTTCCATTGACTTTTTATTTTTATATGCATGTCATAGAGTGCAATTGGGGCTGGACCAAACAGCATAGGAAACAAAAAGTTTCCTCAAGAGCAAGAAGGTTGTCTGCCATTCAGCAAGCGCCCACAGCCACAGTCTTCCTCAGCTAAGCATTCCTCAGCTCAGCCATCCTCTAGTCAGCCATCCTCAGCTCAGCCTTCCTCAAGTCAGCCTGCCTCAAGCCAACCAAAAAGAAAGACAAGGTCTTCCTCAAGTCAGCCTACAACAGCCACAGGTGTTGTAACAAGGGCCAGGCTGCAATCCCTCAACAACCTTACTCAGTGATGTACTCATGCTGGATATCAAACATTATGTCTGTTGAACAATTTCAAACTTTTATTATGTACTCATGACTGGTTATGTAACTTGCTAGTTTTTTAGTGGCTTCCCTTAACAAATTTGAACAATTAGATATTGAATTGTAATGGTTGCATGGCTTTGATTGCCATTGAAACATGTTGAAGTAAGGTTCTTTTGTCAACCTGTACTTGAACTATCTTAGTGTTTCACATATTTCCCATGTTTTAATGTTTCACATGTTTAAATAGGTTGATTAAAAGACAAGGCATAAATAGGAACTTAGACAAGGCATAAATAGGTTGATTAAAAGACATATTTATAACACTTCAAGTCATTACAAGAAATTATAACTACTTAATACAGCTTACTATTACACACCCCTAGCCATTAGGAAAATTACACCCATTGACAAACCTATACAAATGGCCATGCCCACCCAACCAAAACAGCTGATTGAAGACACCTTCCCTTCATTGCACTCCCTGTTCATTCTCTTCCTGTCAGCGTTCAAGGCCTTGCATCTCATCTTCAAATTATCAACTTCATTAAGTAGGCACCTCCTTTGGCCACTGATTTCATCAACTTCCCTTTTCAATTCATTAACTTCACCCTTTAGCAGCTTCTTATCCAACAACAGGTTGTTGATAACCCCTGTTTGCCAATCTGTTCCATCAGGTTGATCAACCCATTCGAAAGCTTTGCAACCCCTTGTTTCTGTTATTGGGTCATAAAACTTACATGATATGAACTTCCTGCCTGGATTCTCCCTTGTCCAGCTAGTGAGCTTGGCCATTGGCACACCACACTTACATTTTCTGGCCTCAGGAGGGGAAGAGCTAACAAACGACATAATCTGCATCAATTTTAGATCGACAGTCACATTTACAGATTTGTACACTGACGAATTAACATTGACAGCAACAAAATTCATTTTTAATTTCATAATACGAAAAGCCCCAAATTCAATTTCTGACGAACCCTAATTTCGCAATTGGGCATTTAGATGCGTACATAACATAATCCAACCATTAATCTGAGTACGAAACAATTGCAAATAATAATTGAAGAGAATTTAAACCATAATTACCAAACAACCGAACAATTGACCGCACTCACCTGTTTCAGCAGCTTCAATCTGTTCCTCTTCTCAAAAATCGTGGAAGAATCGTGAAAGAATTGTTTCAAGTATCGTGCAACAATGCAATGCGCTGCTGCTATTCAATAAGAACAACGATTTCGTTCATTGGGGGAGAATCGTGCAAGAATGGTTCTTATATATCGTGCAAGAATCGTGGAAGAATGGTTCTTATATACAGATCTTTTAAAAATATATCCGTTGGGGTGGGCCCCACTAACAGTTCTGTTAACGGAAGATGGATTTTGGTGTTAACTTCCAACTTTTATATTTTTGGGAGGTGTTAAAATAAAAGTTTTTTTTTGGGGGGTGTTAAAAAACATTTTCAGCCTTTTGTAAGGTGTTAAAATCCAAAATATCCTAAAGAAAATAATCATCATCAAAATAATAATAATAATAAAATTCATAACCATCATAAATTATAACGATTATAATAATAATCATGTTAATATTAAAGCATAATAATAGCAAGATCCTAGGCATGATACTAACAAGATTAATAACAAACCCTAGCATGTCACTGAGCAATAAAAATGAAATCATTAACCCTAACATGATACTAACAATCATAAATATTAGGAAGAACATAGGAAGCATCGCAACAATCATATTTAATATTAAAATTACCCTAGACATGATACTAGGACTTTATTGTTGACACCCTAAACATGAAATTAAGGAAAACATCCTAACATGATACTAGGAATAATAATAACAATCTAAGCATGATTTCTATATAATAACATCAATAAAAACCATTAAAGTACTTACTTGGATGCCTAGTACCTCTTTCTAATTACAACATACACACGTTAGCAACTTCAAGGAAAATAATAAATCAAACAATTAAATTAAATAATTGAAATAGAGATTTGGGACCAAACCCTCAGAAATTAAACCATTCACGTCTAGGGCGAAGGCAACTTCGAATATGGCTAGGTGTTTCTAGATCTTGCGAATGCGGAATTTTGTATTTGAGAAAAGGCTAGTTTAGAAAAAGAGAAAGATGAAGAGATGAATGAATTAAGAGAGAATTGAAAACTTGTTTTAAAAATAAGAAACGATGAAATCTGGTTTATCGAAAACGGAGTTTTTAATACGTTATTTATAGAGAAAATCAGCCAAAAAGATAAAATTAACAAAACAGAGTCTGGCGCACGCAAAAAGAGGTTGGTGCCAGGCATTGGCCATTGACGCCAGGCGCCAATAGCTAGCACCAGGCCTGGTCCCAGGCGCCAATGCCTGGAGTCAAGCGCCAAGCCTGTTTTTAACGTATTTTAGTTTTTATCATATTTTTTGATCCGGAAGTCCAAATAAGGCATATAATATGTCGTTGGAAAGCTCTTAAAGTCTACTTTCCAACCCAATTATAATCATATTAAAATATTATGTAGATAAAAAGATATGGCCAAAATAGTGGAAGGGTGTCAATTTTGGATAAAGTTTCATGTCTCATTCATATCTTTTTCGTTATAACTCGGATTTAATATTATAATACATCATTGGAAAGATAATTTCAATATCTATCCAACCATATAAAATTTAAATAAATATTATGAGGCACGAAAATAAAATCTGAATATATTCCACTTCGTACAAAACAAGGATTCTTAAAAGAAGTGTTTTATTCAATTTCAAACTCTTTAAAACATAATTATTAATCCTAACTACATTAGGATTTAAAATAACCTTCTAGAGTATTCTAGAAGACTATAATCAATCCTAATAGCTTTAGGAATGATAATTAATAATAGACCCTTCTCTAGATCATTGGGCCACATATAAGGCTCAAACCGGGCCCAGTTAAGTATTTTGGCCATAACTTCCTCGATATTCATCAAAATTGGGCTTATAATATATCGTTGGAAAGGAATTTACAAGCCCCATCCAACTAAACTACTATTGGACCCATATCATGGACCAACCAAACTATATTGGCTGTTTTCTTAAAATAAGTTTTCAAAAACAAAGAGAAAAGAAAAGAAATTAAAACTATCCGCAACGCTAGACTTTCCACACTTTCGGTTCATTCAATTATGATTCGACGCGAAAGGTACTCATCACTGGGTTTGGTTTTGGGGAGACACAAATGGGTGTCGACAGGTATGCACGTTTCAAGATATTCGAGGTTGATTGAAACATAAAATATGCTAAGCGTAGAGAACTAGTTATCACAATTCACCTTCATTCCATTCGATCTTACCGCGTTCTCCCTATAGTCGCAAATCTCCCTCTAATGAGCATCTCAATGGCTCCTCGAAGGAGCCGGAAAAGAACACACTTTTGGGCTACTCGACGTCTTGACTTTGCATTCCCTCTCTTTAGGCTTTAACTCATAATGCCTTCCCTCAAAATATGACTCAACCTCTAGGTCGAAAGGTCTTTCCCAATGGTTTTAACGTAAGGGAAAAAAGGGTGAGAGTAGGCTTAAAATTTTAAAATTTGGCGGTATTCCTAATTAGTGAAGCAAAGGGTGATCAAACCTTCTCCTCATAACCAAGAAATTGCCAAACAAAAACAAACTAACTCCCCCAAGCTTATTCAAAGCTATAACCACAAGAATATATAGAAAAAGTGTAAACGCATCTCCCCCAAGCTTAAAGGAAGCATTATCCTCAATGCTTGAAAAGGGAAAAGAATTACATCAAAATGTTTTTGGATTTTCTCATTTTCAACTTCTTTTTTTTCATGTATAGAGAGCAATTGTCCTCGCCTCTTATGACTTGGGACGACTTTTACAACTTAGCATATATTATGTCCTTGCCTTTTTAAACTTTGGACGGCTTTTTCCAAATATTCATATGCCATTATTCATTATATATACAAAAGACAAGTTGCTTACAAATAGAACCAATATCCAACCATATACACCACAAACTCCAAAAACATGACCATTTGCTTCATAGAAACCAAAAATGGAACAAAAAGAAACAAAAGGCTCAAAAATCTAAAGATGTGGCTTGAAAAGAAGGGAAAAGGCCCAAATGGTTAGCAACAAGGAAAATGTAAACCCAATGAACTAAAAATAAAGAAGAAAATCATAGAAATTAAAAATTACCACCCCGAAAAGATGTCTTTGTCTTCCCTAGATGGATCAGTCTCGTGTTTAAGAATTATGAGTCAAGATTCAAGATTAGGTCCGCAATAGTCAAGGATCCATGCCGCTCATGCAAAGAAATGTTGAAGACTTGAAAAATGATGAGCCTCACATGGATGTAGCAAAAACTCAATATAGGTGTCAAATTGACTATAGGAATCAACTACCAACATGCCACAAACAAGTACTATCCGGTTTCACGATCCTCCTAGTTCTTAGACATGCTACCTTAGAATACACCTATCCTAGAGTCAACCAAGCATACTCTCAAACCGTGCATACCCATACCACTTAGGAAGATGTTCATTCAAAAGCAAAAATTGGTTGTACATAGTCCAATTAAAAAGAAAAACAAAAAGTGACAAATAAAGCCCCAAAACATACCAAAAACCAAAACCAAGAAGAAAGAAGAAAGAAAAATAAAAGAAAAGAAACGATAAAAAGAAAAACATAGATTAAGGAAAAGTAGGAAAATAAAGAATGGAACGAAAATGCAATTATAACACGTAATTCCCAATCAACAAACAAGTGATCAAATGACAACATCGCCAATGATCCCAAACATTCTACGTGTTATAAGAATCCAACCTCGAACCATTCAACTCCTCCTAAAACTAATCCTAAACTAGGCATCCAAGAAAATAAAAGAGATAAAGAAAAATAAGAAAGATCTCACCAGCATCCGAGCAACGCTAAAATAGTAAGGTGAAGAATCAACCACCTCAATAAGTTCCAAGAAACAAAGCATCATCATCAAAGCCATGTTAGAAAAAAAATAGAAAAGAGAACTATAGAAAAGAAAATGGTTAGTAACTTCAAAAAAAAAAAAAAAAAAAAAAAAAAGAAAAGAAAACGAAAATGAAAGAAACTAATAAGCTAAAATAACCTATTAAGAAAGCAAAGATAAGAAAATAAGAACTAAATAACCAACTAAA